TTGATGTAACAGAAAATAGCTTTCAATTTAACAGCAATATAGAAATATTGTCAGTATACATCAGCATATATTCTTTGTTAATTTTTTCTTTTAAACCAGTCTTGGTTTTTAATATAGTGCTGAAATTGATGACCTGAGAACTGCGAATGCTAATTATTTGCACATACAAAGTGCCTTATAGCTATTTCTCTTTTGGTGTTTGGTTTTAATAGTGATATGCTTCTAAGCAATTGCTTTCTTGTCTTTGTCATAATGCTATTAGGCTCCAAGGTGTTATTTTTTGGTGTAATTTCTCTCTATTTGTGTTCTTTCTGTGATTTAATCTTTCCCCTACCCTCTCTTCTGTACTTTATTATGCTGAAGTAAATGTTGAGAAATGTTGTATATAGTGTGATTTTAATGAGCAGTAATCTGAAAATACTATTCTGTTACAAAGAATTATTTTTTCTGATGATGATGAGTTAGTTTAGCATGTTTCAATTAAAATGTTGTAAATACTTGACGATATTATAATTTTAAATAGTTTTAGTTTCCTTTTTAAAAGTAATCCATTCTCTTTGAAAAGTTATTTACTACACTTTTGTGATTAAAACCTGTTGCGGTATCAAATAGCTGCAAAAAATTGTATTCAATCATTTGCCATTTGGGCTTTTGCATTTACTTAATTGCAAAGTAGTGATTTTGATAGCATTGAATACTGTTGTATGATTTAGTTCTGTAGCTGTCAGCTTTTCTTTTCCTACAGAAATTGTATTTTGCTACCACATGGACTATTACTCAAGCTAATCCGATGTCATGTTATTAGCCAGCTTGCAAACCAGGCATCTCCTTCCATCCATTCTTTAGCAGATGATGAAATGTAATTTGGCCCCAGTAAAGATTCAGGGCTCTTATTAGTAGCTTTTTGGAGACAGTAAGGGACAAGAAGCTCCAAATTAGCTCTTCCCAGGTGTATTCAATGTGCTATCCCTATTCAGAGATCATGTTTTTCCTTGATATGTAACAGAAAAGGGCACTGAGGGCTGAAAACTGGCTTCTATACTATGTGAAACACTTTGTACCTTTGTATGCCTGTCCACTGGATCTGAATACTTTTCTAAATGCAGTCTTTTCCCAAATAATTTTTTTAAATTTTGAAAGATCATATGGATGTCTCTTTCCAGAAGAAATTTTGTTTTTCATGGCATAATGTCAATCAGAATAAATAAATCAGTGCAGTCAGTCTGAAATGGGAAAATTGTATGACTTGCTTTCAGCAAGTTGGACTGAAACTTGTTTTATATTTATACACAATGCAAAAATGAATAGATGCTGAGGTCAGAAAGAATTAAGTATGACTGCATGATATTGATCTTCTATGTAATACGTCATAGGCTTTTACAGAGATTCTTGCATTAATCCATAACTTCTAATTTAACTAGAACATCACATTTTAATGTAGGGTTTTTGAATAATAGAGAATCCATTATGTGCTTAAGTAAAATATCGTGATAGTTATTTATGACCTCTTAAAAAATCTTATTGCTAGCCTAAATTTTGTCTGATTTTATCTTCAACTGATGATCTTGTTAGCAGCTGTACATGACAGAACTCCGTATCATCAGAAAATTCTTAGCACATAAATGTCAAGTCCTTTCTTAATCTCCTCTTAAATTATACTGTAAGTTTGTTGAGTTTGTGTAAGGCAGGCTTTCCACACCTAGAAAAACTATAATGTTTTGTAGTCTTTTCAGTTTATCAATACAGGTTTTTAAAGTGTGGACATATATTGATATTGTCTCTAGTAATGGTTTTACACAGGGAAATACCATACACAATGTATTGCAGTATATATTGCTATACAGGTTCAGTCAAGGATTTGACTTCTTTTTCTAATCACTGCTTTGCATGATTTGGTTGTTTTAGTTTTTAACTACAGTCCTTAAATTCCCTTATAGAGTCCCTTTGGATGTGACAGCCTGGTCAGAGAGAGAGAAGCTAGATAAGTTTTCCCAGAATCAGCCTGGGAAGCTTTAGGGAGCTGGAGATAAACAATAATAGCAAATTATTAAAAAGAACCTGCAGGTGGTGTTTTTTCTTGTTATTCTCATAAGATTGTTTACAAATGGGTGTCTTGTTAATTAGCCAATCAGGTGAAATGTATTGATTAAATGACCAATCAGGTCCAGCTGTATTGACCAGTGTATAAAAAGAGGCAGTTTCAGTAAAGACAAGGTGCTTATTCCACTTAGCCTTTTGACTGATTCTGTGTCATTTCTTGCTAAACAGTGACAACTCCCCATTTGCTAAAATATGTTACCTTATAGTAGAAACATGACTTAGTTTTGTAATATTAAAAGGTCATGCATCTAGCAATGTAAAAGCATCTTCATCTAAAACCCGATATCCCCATTTCCTGCTTCACTAGCATTTGCAGACTATTGAGATTTGCTTTGTATCTTGAAAATAGTTCCTATGAGGTGCTGTCAGTCATTTGAATGATACTAGATCTGTCATAACTTTTTGAGATGTATTAGATCACTAATTTTGAAAATCTTCATTATTAATTGAATTGCTTTGATTGTAGTTTGCCTCTCATCTTTCATATTTTTTTAACTTTTATGGACTTCAGGGCATCTTGTTTGAGTACAGATGCTTTTTAAAAGCAGATGTCATAACATCTGTTCATTATACTTTTGGAGAGAAATCTAATATGTTGTCTCTGTTCTGTAAAATAGCTTTTAAATAGCTGTTTCTGTTGCTGTGAATTCAGCTTAGCCAGCAGAGGGAGATAAGACATAAATCAATTAGAAACTTGGTCCCACTTGTTCTCTTTTGTGTGGGTCTGTTCAGAGGAGACAAGATCCTTCATCTCACTGTCAATTTCTTAACAGCCTGTACTGAATTATGTATTAATGTTTCCACGTTAGCAAGTTTTCATATATGTTTTAAAAGACACTGTAGTTTTTATATTTAACCCATTTAACCTTTCAGAAAAGAGTATTTGGTTTCCTTCAAATTTGATTATTTTCTTTCCATTATTTTTTAATAAGTACAAATGATGTTCAATTTGGCTGTATGAAACCACTGCTGTTCAGTTACACTGGGACTTAGGGCTTTAATTGTCAGGGTGCAGATTAGAGAGAACCTGTATTCTACTCAATCATTTCCATGTACTATAAGTGTAATTTGTTCTGCTTTTTGCATACATCAGTGAGAGATTCAGCATCATTAATGTTTTAAAATATTACTGTTTAAATTCAAATCATAGCAGAAAAATATAACACTTCTGAATAATGTGCTTACACTTACTGCTTTTCTGCTGACAAAAAATTTTTAGTGTTTTCAAAAAGAGTATTCTATTATTTTTTCCAGCATCTTCTGGTGCTTGACTGCAACTGTGCTTAGCAAATTCAAAACAATTAGGACTATTCTTAAAGGGATTCAGATCTTCTCTATTTTGGATTTTCATTCTCAGTTTAAGAACTGGTTATTGTCCAAAATGTCTTGCAATTGGGTTTGGACTATTTCATTAGGATTGGTGACTTATTTATTATGCACATCATCCCTAGAAACCAGACTCTTAAAGTATATTTATCCAAAATAAAGTGTGATACTATGGACTTCCCTTGATTATTTTTTCCAATATGATGTGATTTGTGGTTTTCAGCATTTACCATTAATTTTTCTTCTGCAGTGTTTTTAGCATAAACTTTCAGCTTTTATTTACATGTAATTCAGTTGAATGTGTGTTGCAGCCTGAATTGCTGCTAGTAAAGTCCAGGGTAAAGAAGCAAAAAGGGCCTTTGCATGGTATCCACAGATGTTTTATTCAGCTGCCCGGTAAGATGTTCAGGTCCCAGGCACACACACATGGAGGGTCCAGGTTTCTCTCTCCCAAGGGGCCCGGGGGGTGACCCTGGTCTCGGGGCAGTACGACAATAAGGGCCAATCAGGGAATGGCTCAGGGACATAGGAACAGACATAGGAGCCAATGGGGTCTTAATAACTTTTTGAGGGAAGCTTCTTGTGTCTCCCCAACCCAGGGGATGCCCCCCAGGGTCTCCACAAATGTGGGAACCTCATGAGATTTAACCAGCCAAGTGCAAGGTGCTGCATCTGGGTCAAAAACTCCCAGTATCAATACAGGCTGGGGGATGAACAGATCGAGAGCAGCCCTGCCAAGAAGGACTTAGGGGTGCTGGTGGATGAGAAACTGGACATGAGCCCAAAATGTGCGCATGCAGCCTAGAAAGGCAATCGTATCCTGGGCTACATCCAAAACAGCATGGCCAGCAGGTCAAGGGAGGGGATTCTGCCCCTCTACTCTGCTCTGGTGAGACCCCACCTTGAGTGCTGCATCCAGCTCTGGGGTTCCCAGCACAGGAAGGACATGGACCTGTTGAAACAAGCCCAGAGGAGGTCACCAAGATGATTAGAGGGATGGATCACCTCTCCGATGAGGAAAGGCTGAGAGTGGTAGGGTTGTTCAGCCTGGAGAAGAGAAGGCTTCAGGGTGACCTAATTGCATCCTTTCAGCACTTGATGGGAGCTTATAAAAAGGAGGGAGAGGGACTTTTTGCAAGTGCAGATAGTGACAGGACAAGGAGGAATGGCTTTAAATTGTAAAAGGGCAGGTTTTGATTAGATATTAGGAAGAAATTCTTTACTGTGAGGGTGGTGAGACACTGGCACAAGTTGCCCGGAGAAGTTGTGGCTGCCCCATCCCTGGAAACGTTCAAGGCTGGGTTGGATGGGGCTCTTAGCAACCTGGTCTAGTGAAACTTGTCCCTGCCCATGGGAGGGGGGTTGGAACCAGATGATCTTTAGGTCCCTTCCAACCCAAACCATTCAACGATTCTGTGATTCTATGTTAACAAAAATTTTACCAGAGTTTGAAAGGTAAATGGGTCAAATGCAATAGTTCAAATGACCTGAAATGATTAAAGTAAGTTACAAGAGCTGTATGACTGAAATAATTTGTGCATTTTATAATTGTTTTTGTTTGTTTTTTTTTATAGGGTGTGTCCAGATACAGACTCGGTTGTAAGTAGACTTATTTCCAACACAAATGCATATGGTAACATTGTTAAGCACTACAATCTGTTTTAACTTGACTTATATACAGGACAGAGGATTTAATATTTTGATAGAATACTTGAAGTATTTATTTTGTTCAGAACATAGTCTTTAGCAGTATATACAAATATGCATCAGTAATGCATTTATATTTCTTAACAATCTTAAGTTTTAAACAAGGTGTTTTTTCTGCAATTATTTGCTTCTTTGTTTTGCAAATTAATAGTTTCAATTGCTTGACTAATTGATTTTAAGTAAGAAAAAGATTCAGAGAACCCAGCTTTGCATCATCATGTTCCTCTGCTTACAACTGTCTCTTTGGAGAACCCTTCTAATAATGGAGTTCTGCATGATTGCTGGCAATAGCGTGTAGGAATATATGTTTTTAAATATGGCTTTAAATGCAGTATCTCAGTGCACTTTATTCATGGTCTGTTTTTCATTGGCCTCAATTTGATCTATGATGAGTCTTAGAATTTTATTTCTTGAATTCAAATAATAGTTGCAAGTGAAATTCATGTGTTAATGCTTTTTTATTTCCTTAATTGAGCATTTTCTTTTTAGTAGCTAGAGTAGGGAATAAATTACAGAATTATTTATGTGTCCTTTTGTGGACTGATTTGGTTTTCAGTTCTTTTAATTAGATGTCAATTATATTAAATAATTTAAGTTTGCAAGCTCACCTGTTTTGTGGGTATTTTTCTTTGCATTTAATATCTGGGAGTTTTACTACCTAATATTAAAACTTATTTTGAGAAACATGGTTTCCATTCTTCTAAATAAGGAAAACTAAGTTTTGTCACATAATAGAACTCTATGCGCATGAACAGCCTTATAAGCATAATTTGAGACAGTTATTTTATCCTATACAAAGTCATCTTCACTTAGAACACATTAATTAAGTATGTTTAAAATAAAGTAACTTTCAAATAATCCCTAACATTATCCATTTCTTTACAGAAATAATGTCTTTTGACTGTTCAGGTTGAGTCATTGGAGTGAAACATACCCGGATTTGATGTGCAGTGTTTATTTTCTTCCTTGCTTATTTTGGTCTTTACATTAAAAAAAACACATTCAACAAATTCAACTGTAAATGTGTCTAACATTCTTTCTGACTGCATGAGGCACACGATATGATAATTTAATTGTTTTGTCTAGATGTAATTTATATATGGTTGAAAAAAGACCTTCTAGATCCTCTAGAAAATCCTCTTCTAGAAGGTCCCATTTCAAATATTTTTCATTTTTCTTGTCTTTTAATTTAAGATTTCCATTCTGTTTCATTTTTCAATCTTAGCATGGTTATGGTGTGGTTCCTTCCATTGCTTTTTGGATGCCAGATGGAACAGAGCAAGGAAACTGAGTCAAAGTATTGACTGAAATTCTGTAAATAAGTTTTAGGAATAGAATGCTCAGTCCTCATGCTTTTTGTATAGGCGGTTTTACTTTTTTTATGTCCTTATGTTTTATTTCTTTAAAAAATTATTCACCCCAGAAATTTTTTGGACCATACTAATTCAGAGTTATAAACCCTACAGATTTTATGTATATTTAGAACTATATAATAACTTAATCAATAATGTGTTGTATTACATCTGCAAACATAGGGAAAACTACAGGACTTATTGTTATATGTTTAATTGCTTGATAGAATGTCTGAGAATGTGAAACCTTCTTTGGAAGAAGTCTGCCTTTCCAGTGACTTCTAGAGAGTTCAAGTCACATCCATACTGAGCTTATTTTTACTACAAATACTATAAATAAAATGTTTGGGTAGGGGGCTAGACCTTAATCCCAAATCATATTAATAACTACTTCTTACAGAAACACAAAATTTGCAAAGATCATCTCATCTTGAAGTTTAAAATGACATGTATATACAAGAAGTTTGTGAAGTTTGTGGGGTTTTTTCTCCATTCAGCGCAGTAGCCTGTAGTGAGTTGATGCTGGCCAGATGCCAGGCACCCATCAAAGCTGCTCTATCACTCCCCTCCATACCCAAATAGGGGAGAGAAAATATAATGAAGGGTTCATGGATTGAGATAAGGACTGGGAGACATCACTCATCAAATACTGTCATGGGCAAAACAGGCTTTAATTAGAGACATGAATTTAATTTATTACTAACAAAATCACAGCAGAATAATGAAAAGTAAAATAAAACCTTAAAAACACCTTCCCCCCACCCCTCCCTCCTTCCCAGCTCTACCTTCTCCCACCAATGGCATAGGCAGACAAGGAGTGTGGGTTATGGTCAGTTTATCACCTGTGGCTTCTCTCGCTGCTCAGGGACAGGAGTCCAGCTGGCAGCCAGTCACCAGTGGTGTCCCTCAGGGGTCTGTGCTAGGGCCAGTTCTGTTCAATATTTTTATTGATGACATAGATGAGGGGATTGAGTCTTTCATTAGTAAGTTTGCGGATGACACTAAGCTAGGATCGTGTGTCGATCTGTTGGAAGGTAGGAGAGCTCTACAGAGAGACTTGGAACAGTTGAATGGATGGGCAGAGTCTCATGAGTCCATCTCACTAGCAACAGCTCTTTGCGAACTGCTGCAGTGTGAGTCCATCCCATGGGCAACAGTCCTCCTCAAACTGCTGCAGCATGGGTCACTTCCATGGGGTGCAGTCCTTCAAGGACAGGCTTCTCCAGCAAGGACTCCTCTCTCCACAGGCCTCCCACAGGGTCACAGCCTCCTCTCAGGCATCTACCTGCACTGGCGTGGGGCTCCTCCATGGGCTGCAGGTGGATCTCTGCATCCCCTATGGAACTCCATTGGCTGCAGGGGGACAGCCTGCTTCACCATGGTCATCACCATGGGATACAGAGGAATCCCAGCTTCTCACAGATGCCACCCCTGCAGCCCCTCTGCTGTCAAAAGCTTGCCACACCGCCCTCCCCAGACTAACCTCGTATGTGCCACTCGCAAAGATCACAGCAACCACGGTCAGTTTGACCCTGGATGTGTGTGCTATTCACATCAGCCAGATCCCTAAGAGAATTCTCTGCTTGTCATGGAAGTACTGGTGTACTCCTTCCATTTCCTGATGTCCCAGAGGAAAACAACACTAATAAAGCAGAAGAGAACAAAATGGCTACTTGCATTCCGCCACTATCAAAACCAGGCCATGCAAATCCAAAACATAGGCAAATCAGGTCTTGTCTGTATTGTGTGCCTGGTACTTAAAAGATGCACTGTGGTCCACCATATAACATATGGTTCTGTCTTTGTAGGAGTGTGAAGAAGGGAGTAAGAATTAGTCAAGTAAATGTATATGCCTTCATTAATATGAGATCTGTGATTATGTATCTCACCTGAAGGGCTGTGTCTTCTACTGCTGTTACGAAATGTAGATTTGCAAATAAAATTTTAATGTTTCAGGAAGAAGAACTGTTCAACTGTTCAAAATATTGAAAACAATATTTTGAAATTACTACTTAACTTGTTAAATAAGATTTTAAAGTACCATTTTACTTGTATGTGACACAATTTGTTGTTGCCACCATTACAGAGGTACATTAAGTATTTCTTCTACCCTTTGCCATTTTTATAAGAAATTTATAACTAGAGAAATTTTGAAGACATCTGAGGTTTTTTTTCATAATAAGCTTGCTGTAGCATCTCAGCAGTTCGTATAGACTAACTATGCATGCAAAGTCATGAAGTCATGAGTGGGATTTTATTTTTCTGTTCTGAATGGGAAAAGTATCTGTGAATCCAAGTATACCCCTTTATCTATAATATACAAAAGTGTGGGGTTTTGCACGTTTTTGAAATTTAGATGACCATATTAAAGACTTGTTTCTTTCTGTCCCAAAGCATTTTTTATCAAACTGTTTAGTTAAGATTTCAAAATTATTTTAAACATAATTTTCTTCAGTTTATATTTAATTCCCTGCAAGAACTGAAAAACTGAACTAGTTTCAAGTTCCCAGGTGCTTATTAGCTTTAAAAATCCAAGACAGTGCTGGATATGTGCAAACAAAAATTTTGGGACCTGATTTTGAGCTCTTGTATTTAAAGGTTCATCCATGCCTTTTAATGAATGTGGATATTCTTTGCTAAAGCAACACTACAGGCTTGCTGTCTTTTCAAGGGGGAGAGAGGAAGTTGCAATCAGTATAACCTGGAATGTTTTTATTCACTTATTAAAGTACTGACTAGTATTTAGAATAGGTTATGCTCCTGCACCATCAGTGTCTTAGTGACTTAGCTGAAATAATTAGAAGTGGAAATTGGGAAAATATTTGGGGCTAAGAGTATTGTAGGCTCATTTAACACTAATTTGTAAAGTTAAAATGCATCTGTTGATTTCTGGCCCTTTTGATAGAATACCAGTAAAAGCAGATGCATTAAAACTTGACAATTTTCATAGGAGATTTGGAGATTGTTTTGTTGCATTGTGTTCCTGAGATATCTGTCACACTTCTTCTGAACTATACAGCATAACTTGAGAAAATTGTAATAATTATTAATGCATTACAGTGATTTTTGTGAGGTGTTATAATAAAATTTTTGTCAATGATATAAAATTCAGATTGATGTAAAAACAGCATATATTTTATTTCTTAATACCATAATTTTTGTTGGGTTTTTTTTTAGAATGTTCCTGATGTAGATGATGAAGGATACAGCATTAAACCAGAAGCATCACAGGATATCCTTTTTGCTATTATTGTGCCAAGTTATTTCCTGTTATTACAATTATTTGGGGAGGGGAAGCGCTCATTAAAGTGTTAAGTAAAGGAAGATTAATGACATGCTTATGCTGCAAGCTTGTAGGCTTATGTTCAAAGTGTCTGCAAAATGCACAAAATTTTGTCTAGTTTAGATTTTATGTGTGTAAATGTTAAAGGCTAAATCAGATGTCTGAGGAACTTTAAGAGAACTTCTGTCTGACAGTAAAAAAAATCCACAACAAAAACTTGAAGGTGACCATGCAGATCTTTTTCCATGAAAAGCTTTCAGAGAGTGTGTAAAGTACAGCTTGTTAACTCTTTTAAGCATTAAATGGCTTTTTGTTGTATATCTGTGCATTTCCCACTTTTTAATAACACTGTTAAAAAGATTGGAAGGTCCAGCAGTCTAGAAATAGAATTTCTGTTAATTAAGTATCATGCTGTTTCTAATTGGTGCTTATAGCTTTTATCGTATTTTTAATGATAAAACAGATTTTTGTTATGAGTCTCTTCTTTTAAAATGGATTTCCCTTTTTTTCCTTCCATCAGAAACAGGGGGAATCTCTACTTAAGAGCTAGGAAGAACTGTTGAAGATCTAAGCAAACCTAATATGTTAGCAAGTTAGCTAATTTTTGGAAGTGTATTCACTGATTTTTCAGGGGACTGCAGATAAAATAAAAGTTAAATGTACGCTTTGCAATTACTTTAAATTGTGAAAACTTTTAACCAGTTGAGAGCACCTTAAAGTGGGCCACTCCATCATCATAGCTTCTCTGTTCTCATCACCTTTGCCAAATGCCTCTGTTGCCCCCAGTGAAGGTTCCTGTACTGATAAAAATAATTCACATTATCTCTTATTTGCATAATTGATAGAAAAACAAAAGACTGTTATCCAGTTCTGGAGGGGGTGCATTATTTGATGTTTTACATATTTTACAAAATGGAGGCAGGAGTGAATAACATTCATGATTTTAAGTGATTCACCTGAATTTCCTTTTATCCAGTATCCTTTTTGTCATGAAGCAATGGAAAAGGCCATAGATACAGTGAAAAAGCTCAGTGGTTTGCAATTCCTGTCAGCCAGGTAGTACTTCAGCTTCTGAAAATCTTGAACAGATTCACAAAGTCATCAGTTTCCTTCCTCTTTTCCTGCCTTAGCCTCCAAGAGTGGATATTTATTATTTTGATGGGAACTCTTGAGATTATTTGTTAGAGGACATTAAGTCAGTCTTAATCAGGCCAGTCCTAAGTGTTGAAAAAACACTCACCCTAAAAATTGCTGACTGACCTTTCAGTTCATGGCATTCAGGTCTAAATTGATTTTTGTCAGTAACTGTTTAATAGACTTAATACCTCAGTGGCCAGCTCATGCTACCTTACAAGAGCCACCTGATTTGTAGGACATTAATACTGAAACTTGGTAATTGCTTTCAAGGCAAGAAATTTTTTTGTGAAATGAAAAATCACTTGTCTTTTAAAATTTGCTTTTCCAGTTGTGATCCATTTTGTGAGGCAGATAGACTGTAAGATGAAGACATTTGACTTTTTCCTCACCACATCTCAGGGTTTCTTTCAGTTGAATTGGATTTTGAATGCCTTTAGGGTTCAGGGGTTTAATCTTTGTCAGGGAGTGTTTTCAAGAGATTTCATTCAAATGGGTGGCATATTTCCAAGTGAAAATAACAGAAGTGAGGTATAGAATATGTATGCTTCCACTAGGTGGCAAGATACTTGTCTTTCAGCAGAGGAAAAGTTTCAACTTGTTTCTTGTCAAAACAGCTGCATCTTTTAAGACTTAGCACAGGCCTTTCAGAGCTTTTGTTGAGTGCAGTTGCTGTCCATATAAAGAACCAAGTCTAAATTCATCTGTATATTTTGCTTATTTTGAGGGCTGAGTTGTCATTGTTTCCTTTTTTTTCGCAAGGATGACAGTGCTTTACGTGACTGATGGGGTTTACTTTACCATGCATCCTTCAGTGTAACTGGCATCCTTTGTTGCAAAATTTTCAGTGCCTCTGCATAAAAGGGCAAGTAATGGTGGCTGCTGCTTCCTCTACTGTTATGCTTGGTACAAGTACCATGGCATACTGGTTATAACACCAGCAGGGAATTAAATTCCAAATAAGCCACTCCCCTACCCCCACCCCTTCCAGTAAGGGAGGGACAAAAAGAGAGATTATGGTTTGAAATAACAATTTACTAAAAGCACAAAGCAATAGAAGAAGACACACACAATAACAACAGCAATATTAATAGTGAAAGTATAAAAAAAAAAGAGAAGGTGTTTTACCCACAAAAAGGTATTGACCACCCGGAACAGAAAAGGAGGATGGTGGACTCTCCCTGTACTACGCGTTCAAGTGATTTCCCCAGACAAAGGCATTATGGCAACCATTCCTGCGTGCTGTGCCACATAGTCACCAGGAAAAAAAGGCAAGATGGCGGGGGAGCTCCCCCAGCTAACGTTTTCCTTCCCCCAGCCTGAAAACAACAAAAAACAAGGACAAAGAAACCCTTCGGACACGAGGTTGTCCAAGTAGGGGTTGTGCAACTGTTCCACTGAGCTCAGTCCTGCACAGTTGCTTGCGCTACCACCTCTAACTCTCTGTCGTGCTGTGGGGGGGAAAAATGGACATGCTGGGGTGACATCTCCATGCTGTCCCTGCCCCACTGGGCTCAGCTGCGCCTTTGAGCTGTCCCTTCAGCACCAGAACTGGGAGTGGAGCTGCCACCTCTCCTCAGCACCATGTCCTGCAAAAGCGTCCTGGCAGAACAGATGGGGGGCTGGCAGGCTGCAGAGGATGGGATCTGTAGGTTCGATGCTGACAGTCCCTCCTCTGGAGCGAGAAAAGCAAGATGGAACACTTCTGGTTATATGTCTCAGCTTTTCCTGCCGAAACCAAGCCCACAGTGATGATGTAGATGGTGTAGAATAACAGCTTGGTCACACCCACAAAGCACTAAACTGCCCTCCTTTCTGTAACAAGGATAGATGGGCATTTCATTGCTAATTAGAAAGGCTAGGACTTTTCCTCACTTGGTTTAAAAGGATTTCTACAATGCATACATTTTTCATGTATGCGTTAGGATCCTTCATTGAATCTTGGAAATAATAAATTAAAAAAACAGAAGTGTTAAAAATGGAATCACACTCCTGGTAGTAAAAGTGATTTCAGCATTTATTATGATAAAAAGGCCTAAAGCAAGGGGGCCCACGGGCTGGGCAGGAGCATTCCCGTCGAGGATGCTGCAGCACCGGCGCTGGGTCTTCTTGAGCAGCGATGTCTCCGATGTTCCAGGTGGAGCTGTTCTGGTTTGAAAGCAAAACCAGTGAGAGGCTCCAAGTAAGAAATACAATTTATTAGGAAAAGGGAAAAGGAAAACCAAAATGCATGCAATAATACAAAAGAAAAACCTCTGACAAAGTCAGAATACAACCTGACACCCTGTTGGTCAGGGTGTTGGTAGCAGTCCAGATGGATTGGTGGCTGCAGTCCTCCTGGAGTGGCAAATGTTCTGTTAGAGCAGTGATCCTGTAGAAAGGGTGTAGTCTTCCTCTGAAGAGCCAGTGGAACAGATGGCTGTTCCTCTGGGAATCCAGGGGAAAGACTGCTCTGTCCCAAAACCCAGATTATATCCAGGTGGGGATGCTTAGCTCCTCCCCCCTGGGTGGAGCATCTCACAATGGGCTGTTATCATTCTAATGAATCATGCAATGGGTCCTTGATTGCCCATTAAACAGAAATGGCTCCTGGAGGGAGTTGTCTCTAAGTCATGCTGCAAGACATTGATGGGCCCATTAACCGGAGATAAGGAAAAAACAATGCCCCTCCTGGTTTCAACAGCTCTTGAGGATGGGAATAGAATACATTTTTATATTGTAACCTAGGACAGGAGTAGCACAAATTCAGTGGGTCAGATGCCCCTTTCTATCCTGTTTTTTGTCCCTTTGGATTGGTTTCTTTTTGGATCCTTTCATTTGCATGAAGGTTTAAGGCACTTGATTGGCCCATTACAGTTCTGTCCAGGCTGGCTCGTTTCGCCTTGGGGAGTGGTGCACTTTACTTAGGTGTAATACGGTACATTGAGTACCGTATTTCTTATAACTACCCTTTTAACCCCTTTTTACAACATAATAACCAAACTAGCATTACATGCTTAAAAATTATTGACTATTTTACAACAGTTTCTAACCTATTTTTAACAGAAGTGTTGCTACTGTAGAATCATTTATCTTTATACTTTCAAATATATAGTCATTCACTTAGATAATATTGTGTCTTGGATAACAGAATACCATAATGAAGATGAATGGAATGTAAAAACTAAATTTTAACTCTGAGTTGTGTATTTTGAACAGTGTATGATGGGTTTCTCCTCGAGCCAGGTCTTATGATCTCTCAGAGAAACCTATCACACCTGAGATAGCCCAGCTACCCCAAACAGCATAAAATTAGCAGGATGGCTTCTGAGGTAGTGTTGGAAACAGAAAAAGGTTTAATAAAAGGCAAAATAACAAAGGTCTTATAGAGAAAAACCAAGCCAGGGGCAAGAGGTTCTTGCTCCTGGTAAAACACCCCACAAAAGTAATTATTTCTTTTGTTTTCTTCCTTTTCTAGTGAATTACCTAGGCGGGACCTCTTGGCCTCTGTCCAATCGGACAACCCCAGGTCTGAGGTGAAGTCCCAAAGGTCCTATGAGGTGTCTTTTGTACCAAATTGGGAGAGAAACTTCTGGGCTTTTTGCCTTTTTTAAGCAATATATTTTATTTATAATTTAGTCACTGTCAACAGGGGGCACATTCCTACAAGTGAATATAATTGAAGTGCCTGTATAAGTGCACAAAGAGCTTAGGCAGCATTGTTTATCTGTGGTGTTTACTTAATATGATCATTTTGTAGAGAGTAATTGTGAAACATACCAGAGAGATGAATTTGAAGTATTTCTACCTTAACTGAGAAAAACATACCAAAAAGAACCATTTCTATTCATCCAGTGATTCTGACACCGAAGAAGATGAACCCAGGAGGTTCCATGTAGAAATAAAACCCATCCAATCAAATAATAGCTCTCAATATACCATGCCTTCCTTGGATGAATTAAAAGTATCTATAGGGAACATTGCTCTTTCTCCAGCAATATCTGTAAGTAATTTTGTTCCTTGTATTTTTAACAAGAAGAAAAGTGGCAAGGAATCGTTTGTGTTACATGTATTTTACTGTTCAGAATTTATTCTAGATTCAAGTTCAATGATTTTTTTCTTGTGCACTAGGTCATCTTTGATACACTTTATTGCAATTTCATGCTAAGTAACTCCCCCTTCTCAGATTTTAACTTTACTTTGAGTTTTGGGAGTGCTTAGTCCTTGTCCTGCTCTTGCCACCACAAGACATTTGAATACATATGGAGTTAGCTGAGCACGGCTTTTAACATAGTTTACTAATTCATATTCAGTAATATACAAACCTTAAAACCAGATCATATAATGTGGATACATATAACTTTTACAGTGCAGCTTTATTGTATGTATTCTGTCAAACCACAGAATGATCCTTTATTCTGTGAGATGATATTGCAAAGTGTTAAAGTATGCTAGTACAGTATTCACATCACAATATAGATGGCTCTGATTTTAAATAAAATATTATTCATATTAAAATACTAATAATTATTTTTGTCTTCCCCCCCCCACACACATTATGAAAGCAGAAACACAGTTCTGTAAGTAAAGAATGGCTTTTTATTCACATTTTTAGATTAAAACCAAGTAAGTGTAATATGTGAGAAAGTTATCAGGAAAAACCTTAGGAATATGTCTATGATTACCTTTCAGGCATACTATGTGATATAAAAGCTGTTTAATTTTACTGGCCCAGACTGTCAAAGGGTTTAGTCATACTGTTGTCTTTGTCAGCTCTTCAGTCTTCATTCCTGCCTTTTGTGTGTAGTGGGTATGCACTAGCTGCTCTGTCCTGGCTCATGTTCTGGTCTTCTGCAAGCTCCAAAATGGTCTGCCTGGCATTCAAAGCAAAATAACACATGGAAAGTTGAGTTGAAATAAGAACCCTGGGACTATTAAGTGTTTTATTTGACAGTTAGTAAAAGAATTTATTCTTTTCTGTTTCAGGCACAAACGAATCGAAATGCATCTAGTAAGTGTGAATGTTTAGCTTCTAGTTTATTTACATTAGGGCTTTTTAACATGGCATGAAAACTTTTTTATCATTGAAGAAATAAATTTATTAACTATTTGTATTTTAAGTAGAAAAAAAATTCTCTTGTCAGTTCTAGGTACCTTCATGATATTTGCTTTTGAACAACTCACAATAAATTCACTGGACAAAATAAGTTATTTGGTCAAAATTTCAAAGCATCTAGTAGAAGCCAGCCAAAGACCTCTTCTTTTTTTTTGTATACTAAGCTGTTCCTTGTTCTGGGAAACAGATGAGTCTGTCTGTGACAGTGATGACAAACAAGTCTAAGAGCCAAAGTATGTATGGGGGAATATCCATAGAAATTACTCTTGTGTAAGTTGTCAAAACCCTTCCATCTGCACATGCTTAGTATCATCCACAAAATATGCCCATGGAGATGGAGGATAGAGCATTAGTCTCCAGTGTTTTTCTCAGTGGGAAACCAAGCCAGGTTTCCTGAAGAATAATATTGATGTAAACAGTATAATTTAAGGAAGAAATTTCAAGTGACCAGCACTTCTTCCTGAAATGCATTGCTCTGTTTAGTCCTCTCCTTTTAGAAGCTATTTCAGGAGCATCTGAATTTATATTATCAGAGATCATATAAATAATGAAGCTGAAAGATTTTTATTTTAGAGAGGTGATAATGCTGTGTCTTTTCCTTAGGTGAAGAGCTAACAAAATCAAAGCTTTCTGTTCCAGCTAATGAGTAAGTTCAATTTTTAAAATTTTATCAAGTGTCATTTTGGGGGAATTTGGTCTTATTTTGATCTAAGACTCTGAGACTCATTTGAAATATCAGTTGACTGCTAATTTAAGTCAGGTGCTTATTGCATTGTAAGAGCAAATGAGTAATTATGTAACAATGAAGATTTCTATCCACTCATTTTCCCCTTCTAATGTGTTTGCTTCATTCTGATCTGTCTCAATTGATATTTATAATTATGTGACTACAAAATATTGGCTTTGCTTAAAATTTCAGGTTTCAAATAAGATGGATTTAGTTTCCATCATATTTATACTGTTCCATTGTAAAGTGTTTAAGATTACAAGTCCCAAATTTGGATAGGTCTATATACATTGCTCATAGATGTATATACTGAAACTAATTGATTTGTAGATGTATGCCTAGTTGAAAATGAAAATAATTTACTGACATTATGAAATATATGCACATACAAACTCCCACTGATTATCAGTTTAAATAGTTTCCTTATGTGTAAATCAGTTCCTTGACCTACAATTTGTAAGTACTTTTAATTTTTGAATGCAAAGACTAATACAGAATATGAATTACCAAAGTTGTAATTGTATTTTTATGAGTATATACATCTTTCATTAATATTCTAATTGTAACAGTTACTATAGAAAGGGAAACAGTGACCTTGTGGCATGGGATCCACTCTTTAGCAGTTCTCCTGAATCTTCTTCTTCAGCCTCTTTGGTATCTTCATCCTCCTCAGGTAAAATATTTGATAGTAGAAAATGTTTTCTGCATATTCTGTAGGATGTTCTGTTGTTGCTTTTTTAGTCATTGCAAGGAGATGTACTCTGACTATTGAAATGAAAGAATTTTGTAAAGCTGTATCCTATGTTATGAATATACACAAATTGGAGTGCAGTATGCCAGGTGTTCAAGCTAGGGAGCAAGGGGGAAGAGGGAACACTAGAAACCTTAGAAACATTATATCTTGCTTTTGTCTTTTTTTTTTCTCTCGTTCTCTCATTACAAAAAATTATCATCATCTATGCTGAAAGAAGAACAGAATCCTATTTTTACAAAGTTGGTAAATTAAGTGGAGTTTTTCACAGCACCTGAAATGCTGAATTGGCACTGTGAATAGGGATTGGTTTCTTCTTTCTAGGAAAGCCTGTTGACCTCTGCAGCACAAAGCCACTGTGGAGCTTTCCTGTGATGAACTCATTTCCTGTAGGAAACCATGAATCTGTTTGGAGGTGTGCGTGGGAGAAAAATGGCAGGACTGAGTCTGGAATTAAGGGGGAGTTCCTAACACCACCTGAGAGTAGGTGTATTAGGAGGAAGAGGGTGGGCTGAGGAGTATGGGAGGTGGAGGGGAAGGGGTTGAAACTGTGAATTTTGGGTGCAGGTTTTTGGAGTATCTTAGTGTGGACAGGATACTGGCAGGCTTTCCTGAAACTTGGTCTTGAAGGGGGGGAGGAGTTTACAGAAAGAGGCAATATTGATTTTTATATTCAAAAGGCAGTAAGGGAGAGGGAGGCAAAATAGCATGTAAGCAGCTACATGTGTTCAAGAGACTGAGAGCAGATGTTGAGAAACTAGTTAAGAAAGGAGATACTGAAACAAAAACAGATAGTGCTATGTTAGAACCTGCTTACTAAAATTATTCAATTAAATTATTTATGTTGATTATCTCAGGGGATTTAAAGTGGAATCTACTATTTGCTAACAGTAGCAGACACTGTTTCATAGTTCTCTTCAGTCTGCCTACTGCATGTCTATTCTCCAGTCCCTACTGTCTTAATGTAGAGACTTGTCCTCCCATGTGCATGAGAAAGGAAGTGGTCACTTTCTTTTAGCTGGGTATTTCCTTTTCCAATAATTATTATAGATTCTCTGTTCACAGTCATGGCTTTCTGTTTTCATCTCTACCTGCTCATACAGATTGAAGAAGAGTGAGAAAGAATACATATATCAATAGAATTATATTCAACTAGTGCTAATTCTTATTGGCTTTAATAATGTCCTCTTAGTAGCAACCAACATTGCTATGTAACCATTAGGGTTTTGAGTGCAACTTATTCTTCTATTTCATATTCCTTAAAAGTTATGTTTTATAACAAATGTAGCTTATTCCTCACTTAGGTATTCAGATAAGATTATTGGCTACTTGATCCACATTTGTAACATATTTAAGGATAAATATTATATATAATAGTAAGACCAATTGTTCTCAGGGTACCCACCACCTGAGCTGGAAGACAGGGATGGGGAGCAGAATGAAGCTCCCATAATCTACAGGGAAATGGTCAGTGACCTGCGACACCAGTTAGACACACACAAGTCTATGAGACAGGATGAGATCCACCCAAGAGTACTGAAGGAGATGGTTGAAGTGCTCACTGAGTGACTTTCAATCATTTATCAGTAGTCCTGGTCAAGCAGGGAGGTCCCAGTTGACTGGAATTTAGTAAATGTGAAGCCCATCTACAAGAAGGGCTGTAAGGAGGATCCAGGAAACTACAGGCCTGTCATTCTGACCTCAGTGCAGGGGAAGGTTTTGGAGCAGATCGTCTTGAGTGTCATCAAGTGACAGGTGCAGAACAACATGGGGATTAGGCCCAGCCAGCATGGGTTTAGGAAAGGCAGGACCTGCTTGACCAACCTGATCTCCTTCTATGACCAGGTGACCCACCTGGTGGATGATGGAAAGGCTGGGGTTGTTGTCTACCTAGACTTTAGTAAATCCTTTGATACTATGTCCCATGGCATTCTCCTGCAGAAGCTGTGGTTCATGGCTTGGACAGGTGTGCTCTGCTGGTGGTGAATGGTGCTACATCCAGTTGGCGGCTGGTCACTAGTGGGGTTCCCCAGGGCTCAGTATTGGGGCTGGTTCTGTTTAATATCTCTATTGATGATTTGGACAAGGGGACCAAGTGCACCCTCAGCAAGTTTTCAGACCACACCAAGTTGGGTGAGAGTGTTGATCTGCTGGAGGGTAGGAAGGCTCCATAGAGGGATCTGGTGGGGGTAGGTCTCTTCTCTCAAGATGGGAAGAAATGGCCTCAAGTTGCACCGGGGAGGTTTAGGTTGGATATTAGGAAAAATTTCTTCACTGAAAGGGTTCTCAAGCATTGGGACAGGCTGCTCAGGCCAGTTCTGGAGTCATCATCCCTGGAGGAATTTAAAGTTGTGTAGATATGACACTTGGGGACATGGTTTAGTGGTGGACTTGGCAGTTCTAGGTTAATGGTTGGACTTGATGATCTTGGAGGTCTTTTGCAACCTAAATGATTCTATGATTCTTTCTAAAAATATATTAAACTGCTTGTTAGCACCAACTTCATTTAAAGTTAGGACAATTAAATAAATATTCAGCTTGAAATAAGAAAAATTTAAACTATTTAATTAAAAGCATTGCTTTTTCTTAAATGTTGAGAGCTTTGCTTTTGTAGAAACAGGAATGTATAGATGTTTTCAGATTAAATAAAGTTAATTTCAATTTGAAACTTTTTCTTTTTAACACACTGTTTTGAAGCATGGATGATATTGTGGTAATGCTACATACTTATAGGGCGAAGGAAAAGTGCCTTTGGGCAAGTGGGCCATAACTCACTGAATAGCTGTGGTACTGCAGCAGACTACTTAATGTTTAATATGCACTGTCTTCCTGGGCATAAGACAAATTTCAAAGAAATGACTGATGTTTCAGAAGGGAATTTGTGGTATTCACATTCTCTGAACAGAGAGAGACATAATTCTCTCTCCCAGGATTTTTCCTGGAGAAGCACAGAGAGAAGAGAAAACAATTCTTATCTCTACTTGCTGTGCCTGTTGTTTTGCACATGTGGAATGTGTTAGGAAGATTGTTTACCTGAAGTGATTTGTCAATTGGATTCTGCTGAGGGTTGTTTTGATTCCTTGGCCAATTGGGTCAAAGCTGTGTCCTGGCTGTCTCAGTCACCGGTTTTTCTTTAGTATCTCTTTAATATAGTATAGTTATAATATAGTATTAAAGTAATATAGTATAGTGTTAATAAAGCCATTGTTCAGCATTCTGAATCATGGAGTCAGATGCCAATCATTCCCTGCGTTGGGGGCACCCTGCATTCAATAGGAATTTACTTGGGGACATTTGAGTTTGCAACTATTAAGGTAGATGTGGTCAGTATTAGCCTAATTTGTTTCTTCCCAAGTCAGTGATGAAACTCCAATGCTTGAATGACAGCAGGGTTATGCTGAATGCTTGAGAAAATTCCATACTTAAAAGTTACATTTTTAAATAATGTTAAATGACTTGATTAAAGAAGAAACATCCAGAAAAATTTAAAGGAAATTATAAGATGTGCTGCAATGGCATAATCATATATTGGGGTTTCAGTCTATTTTGAAATTAATTTTAAATCTGGCATACTCATTAGCTGGCCTCTAACATTTGTTTTGAATTATGGTTCTATTCAGAAAAGTCACTATGTAAAAGTGGCATTTTTGTACTATTGCCATCATCTGTAAGTTGTGTCTGTTAGGTTACACAAGAGCAGTATTTTTTTAACTGCTTTTTACTTCTCATAGTTTGGTTAAGAGATAATATGCAATTACTATGTTCTTGCAATCAACAGAGTAATTTATCTGTTATACTGATGTATACTTATTGAAGTCAGTGGAATTTCAGAGGGTATAATTTGATGCAGTTATGCCATTGTCAGCCAGGACCAAATATGAATTTTCACTGAATTATCCATTTGTTGTTAGACATGAAAAATTGTCCTATATTGTGAATTCATATAGACTATACACAAAAGGGAACTCAGGTAAAACCATCTTTTTACATACAAACCTCTGCGAATAGTTGGTATAAAATCATTCAAGAGGAATGAGAAAGCCCATGATGTCATTTTTAGAGTCACTTTGCCAGATAGCACACATCCCTATTTTAAAAACATTTATGATTAGTGGTAAATTTTACAAAATGAGGCTTGTAAAATAGGAACTTTTAATAGAAGCATAATTTCCAGTTATTCTGTTCAAGTGAGTACATATTTATGTTCAGTGTGAACTTTCTAATACTAATTTTCTTAAATTTGCTTTCTTTCAGCAAAGCCTACAAATCCTCTTTCTGTAGGCACCATTGTACCCCCTCCAAGGCCTGGTTCAACACCAAAACTGTCTACAGGGAAACTTAGTGGAATTAATGAAATAGTATGTATTCATTGTTGGGTTTTTTCATTCTCCGTTGTACTCAATTTCAGATATATAATTTACACTGTGCCCTGGTTTTGGCTGGGATAAGAGTTCATTTTCTTCTCAGTAGCTGGTACAGTGCTGTGTTTTGGATTCAGTATGAGAATAATGCTGATAACACACTGATGTTTTGGTTGTTGCTGAGCAGTGCTTACCTTGAGACAAGGGCTTTTCAGTGTCAGGCTCTGACAGTGAAGAGCTGCACAAGAAACTGGGAGGGAGCACAGCCAGGACAGCTGACCTGAACTGGCCAAAGGAATATTCCACACCATAGAACATCATGCCCAGTATATAAACTGGGGGGAGTTGGCTGGGAGGGGCCAAACTGTATTGTGTATCACTTGTTTCTCTTGGCTTCTGTTACTCTCTCCTCTCGTCTTACTATTATTATTACTAATGCTATTATTATTATATTGGTTTTGTCTTTTTTTTTTTCTTTCAATTATTAAATTGTTTTTTTGTGTTGGGTTGACCCTGGTTGGATGCCAGGTGCCCACCAAAGCCACTCTATCACTCCCCTCCTCAACTGGATGGGGAGAGAAAATATATTGAAAAGTTCATGAGTTGAGATAAGGATGGGGACAGATCACCCACTGATTACCGTCATGGGAAAAACAGACTCAACTTCAGGAAAGTAGTTGAATGTATTACCAATCAAAACCAGAGCAGGATAATGAGAAGTAAAACAAATCTTAAAAACACCTTCCCCCCACCCCTCCCTCCTTCCCAGGCTTAACTTTATCCCCAAATCTCTACCTTCTCCCCCCCAGCAGCACAGAGGCATGGGCAATGAGGGTTACAGTTAGTTCATCACATGTTCTTTCTGCCTCTCCTTCCTCCTTAGAGGGAGAGCTCCTTTCTCTGCTCCAGCATGGGTCTCTTTCCACAGGGTGCACTCCTTCAGGCACAGCCTGCTCCAGTGTTGGGTCCCCCACAGGGTCACAAGTCCAGCCAGCAAACCTGCTCCAGTGTGGGTTCCTCTCTCCATGGATCCACAGGTTACTGCCAGGAGCCTGTTCCAGTGCAGGCTTCCCACACGGTAACAGCTTCCTTCTGGCATCCACCTGCTCCAGTATGTGTCTCCTCCATGGGCTCCAGGTGGATCTCTGCACCACCATTGATCTCCACGGGCTGCAGGAGCACAGCTGCCTCACCATGGTCTTCACCATGGGCTGCAGGGGAATGTCTGCTCTGGTGTCTGGAGCACTTCCTCCCCCTTCTTCTGCACTAATCTTGGTGTCTGCAGAGTTGTTCCTCTCACATATTCTCACCCCTCTCTTCTCTGCAATTTTCTTCAGCTCAATAACTTTTCCCCTTCTTAAATATGTTACTCCAGAGCCATTACTAATATCTCTGATTGGCTTGGCCTTAGCCAGCAGCGGGTCCCTCTTGGAGCTGACTGGCATTGGCTGTGCCAGACATGGGGGAACCTTCTAGCGGTTTCTGACAGAAGCCATCCCTGTAGCCCCCCCACTATCAAAACCTTGTCACACAAATCCAATACATTCTTATCTCAACCCATGAGGCTTATCTTTCCTTTCTGATTCTCTTCCCCATTGGGGGCAGGGAGGTGAGGGAGCAGCTGCGTGGTACTCAGTTGCCAGCTGGGGTTAAACTACAACACACTGTTACAGTGGAGTTACTTTCTAGACAATGTTCAGGGAATCACATACTCAGATTTTCACTATTGCTGGATAGGCATGAAGTTAATGATAAACATGCTACTATAACAAAACAATTTTTAACTGAACTTGAAAGGTCCAAAACATAAATTTTGCATCAGCTGAATATTTTTAATTGAACAAATCAATAGCTTGAAAATTAAAGGATAGCATATGTGTAGGGAAAAAAATTTCAAAATATGAAATACTAGTGAAATTATAAACAAAACTCAATTGATTTAGTGATATCACCAAAGCTTTGGGGAATGAGTGGGATTGAGTAGATCTTTATCAGTTATGTGTTGACACAAGTAGCTCTGCTGTGACTTCACCCTGCCCTTGATGCTGGTTGGTAGAGAAGGGAGGTGGCAGATTGCAGCAGCTGCCCATCTGGCTAGTGAGAGATTGCACACTACCTTAATCTCTGCTCACTCCTTGCAGTGCAGGTCCATCTGCTGATAAGGAATGTGGCAAAGAATGCAAGTAGCCAGACAGCATACCTGGACAAGCCATGCCTAACCTCTTCTATGAATATTATGATTCTTTGGGTTTCATTTGACTTACTGACTTGGTAAAATTTTACTGTGGTAAGATCCTCTTCTTGTCTTTCAAAGTAGCAAGATATTTTCACCATATTCTCATTATGGAAAAAAAATCTGGTCTTATGCATTAACAAAACTGAAACATTGTCTAACTCTTTTGCTTTTCTGTTATGGTATAAGGTCAGAGTAGGGTTAATTTTGAGATTATTTTCTGATTTCAATATAACATTGTAGTAATTGCTCTTAGACCAAGAAATCTGTTCTTGATATCATCAGAATTAAAGAGAAAAATTTAGCTGGTATTGTTCTTGTCGTGGTTTGACACTGGCCAAACACCCATGAACGCCGTTCTCTCACTCTCTTCTGCTTTCAGTTGGGCAGAGGAGAGGGGGAAAAAAAAATTAACTAAGGGCTCATGAGTTGAGATGAGGATTGGGAGAAAACATTCCAAGAGCAAAACAGGTTCAAATTTAAAGGTGTAAGGTAAATTTATTATTAACAGAGTCAGAGGAGGATAATGAGAAGTAAAATAAGCCTTTGAAACACCTTTTTTCCCTCCCAGCCCCTCCCTCTTTCCCACTGACAGTGCAGGGAGACAGGGCGTGGGGGTTTTGTTCAGTTCGTCACCCAAGATCTTTTTTTGTTTGGTCAGGGAGAGAAGTCTTTGCTATGCCATAGGGTCCCTCCCACTGGAGACAGCTCTCCATGAACTTCTCCAGCATGGCTCCAATCTCATGAGCAGCAGTCCTGCCAAAATTGCTGCAATGTGAGTCCTTCCCACGGGCAGTCTTTCCGAAACTGCTGCAGTGTGGGTCACTCGTCTACAGGGTGCAGTCCCCTAAGGATAGGCTGCTCTAGTTTGGAAGCAAGGGCCCTCTCTCTCTATTCAGCTCTCCCACTGGATCATAGCTTTCTCTAGCATCCACCTGCTCCAGCATAAGTACTTCTCTCATGGGCTGCGAATGGATCTCTGCATCCCCCATGGACTTCATGGACTGCAGGGGCACAGGTTACTTTACCATAGTTCTCACCACGGCCTGCAGAGGAATCTCAGCTCTGGCACTTGGAGCACCTCCTCCCCTTATTTTACCACCGACCTTGGTACCGCCATATTGTTTCCCTCATATGTCCTCACTTCCTCCTCTTCTCTGACTAGAAGAAAAACTGCTGCCCATAGTAAGTACCATTGCAAACAAGTTCCACCAATAGAAAGATTCTTGCAGGATCCCACAGCACCAAGAGGTTGACCTCATCTAGGTTCCGCATCAGGGAGTCGCTTGTCATGTTTCCGCTGCTGGCCAGGTGGCCCCATTGCCACCACGTGGGTAGCAGCGGCCACTGCAACGCTGGCACTATTTAGCACCTCTCTTCATGCAGGGTGCTGGGAAGGAGAAGCTGCTGCTGCCCCTGCCCTTCTGCCTGTGGCATGGCTAGCTAGGGGCGGCCAGGCAGGCAAGGCTCGCCATGGGCCACACTGAGATGTTGGCGGCATTGCCACCCCTGGAAAAAACTGCATGTGCACTGTTTTGATTTTCTTCTTAAATATGTCATCACAGAGGCATTACCAACATCTCTAATTGGGCCAACAGCATGTCCATCTTCAGAGCCATCAGAGATTGGCTCTGTCGGACATGGTGGAAGCTTCTAGCAGCTTCTCACAGAAGCAACTTCTGTGGCACTCCCCCGCTACCAAAAAACCAAAAAAACAGGCTGTGCCAAATCAACACAGTTCTGCTATAAAGTATGATTCTGCAAAAAGTTACATGTGTTGGAAATTAGCTATTATCTGGATATAAATGGAAGATTGCAAGTTGTCTTCATTATATGTCGTGTCCTTTTATAATTCTCAAAGTCTATATAAAGTCATACTCAGTGACAAGTGTGATAGAACCAAAAAAAAAAAATACCCAAAGAAAGCAGATGCTTCAGGAGTTCCAGTACCTTTTAGATAGGTTAATCGCAAATTATTCATTAGTTATTTTAATACCTTAACAGTTAAATGGGTCATAAAACTATCCACAGATTTAGGGTGGAAGGGACTTTTGAAGATCTCTAGACCAATTTCCTGCTCAAAGAAGGGCCAACTTCAAAATTGCATCAGGTTGGTCAGGGATATGCCGAGTTTTGAAAATCTTCAGGGAGAGAGATCTCACAACCTCTTTGGACAACTTGTCCCAGGGCTTAACCACAAGGTTACAAGAAGGAAATTTTTTTCCCTATGTTCAGCTGAAATTTCCTGTCTTATAGCACTTACACCTCTGAATAGAGCCTGGCTCCATCTTCTTTGTAGCTTGTGAATGACTGCTAGTGGATCCCTTCCTAGACTTCTCTTCTCCAGGCTGAACAAACTTAGGTCCTCCTTCAACCTCTCCCTCTCTCTCATGTCCTCCAGTCCTCAGCTATTTTAGTTGCCCTCTGCTGGGCTCACTTCCATTTTGTTAGTAGCTCTCCTTTAGGTCTGAAAATCCACATTTGCTGCACATGTCCACAGGGCTATAGGGTTAGGTTCTGCTACTGTGTTACAGCACAATTATTGTCAGGCTGTTACATAATCAAATACATTAGATTTACCTAGCCAGGCAAAAAATTAATAATGATAAGTTCTGAAATAATGGGATTAATTCCCATAGAAAATGTGGGCGCTCTCTTTTACACTAAAACTAGGGTCGATAAAGCATTAAAAGAAAGATGTTGAGAAACACTGTAAAATCGATTGGGGAAAGAAATGAAGAGCTATTTACAGTCTTTTGTCATCTTTTTAAAATCACTTTCTGTCTCTGTAATACCCTTGTGATCTCTCATGTTAAGCCTAGGCCATTCAGCCCTCCATTGACCTCTAACTCAAGTGCACCACCTGCAGCTCCCTTGGCAGATGCAGAGAGCATTTCCTCAGTATCTTCTGCTTCCCTCAGTGCAGCAAACATACCTACAGTTGGTAAGTTAACCATTTTAGTTCATTTTAGAAATGGTAACATTTTGCCACTGAATTCTACCTGTTAGAAACACCATTCCTTGGAGTTAGCTGTTCCATATGTGAATTCAGTATAGGTACTTCAAGCATTCTTTGCAATACCTGCTTCTAAATGACACGAGAGACAAGACAGTGGATTTGGCTAGATTAGACCATGGATCCAATTATGGTATGTTCTCTAGTGAAATATTTTTCAAAATTAAAATATTCCATGAATTTGTATTTGCTGTGCTGTCTATTAATCAAGCACAATGTTATGTATTTGTTCAGAAGATGTTATTGTACATGTACAGAAATATTTTGGGACACTAATAAATTTGAATTAATATAAATGTTCCAAAAATGAGTTATTTTTATGTTATTTTTACTTTGTTTGTTATCCTGTAATTGCAGTTTCCAAAGAAATTAAACTAATGCATATTTTTCTTCAAGTTAGTGAAGTATTATAAGCTAAACAGAGGTGTTTACTGAAAGCAAAGCAACCAACGAAACAATGAAGATGAATATGAAAAGCAAATCAATCTTCCTGTGCTGCCACTAATTTCAGAAGAAATACAAGGAGACTTGTGGGACAGGAGAGAGGGATTACTTGTGGGGGGACATTTTAACTTGTTTCTGTAGTAGATTTGAAGTATTTCATTCCTGAACACTATTACCACTTTAGTCCCAAGTAAACTTAGACTCTTGCATTAATGTTCAGGTATTTCTGAATGTTACTGATGCCAAGGATTCCTCACTCAGGCTCAGCACCTCAGAAGAGTGTCTGCACAGCTTCTATTAGGAGTTCTGCATTGAAAGCAATGCACCTGTTTCCACCCTGTTCAGGACCAAAGATAGTAAGGTCTACGTAGCCTTAGCTGTTGCAGTGCTGGCACAGTTCAGTGTCCACCAGTTTCTCAAATGTTGAGAAGCATCATAGAAAGATAACTAATATTTTGGTTGCCAGAGTCCATCCAGGCTCACTTCCACAGGCCTCTGCACTGGTGCCAAGGAACTAGAAATTGGTGGCAGCAGCATCAATAGCCCCAGCTGTATGTGTGTTACTGGAGACAGTGACAGAGGGGAATTGTGAGGTGAGGGAAGAGGTAAGGAGGTGTGCACTGACACCAGGGTTTGACATGGTTATTAACCTGGCCTAGCAAAAATAAACAAAGCCAGTTTTACCTGCATTGATTGTATCAATTAAATAGTCATGGAGACCTGGAAAGGGCAGTGCAGATGGCATGAGGACATACTCTGCACTACTGTCTGTATTCTTGTGGCCTTTACACAATCCAGTGTTTCTCTTACCCCATTTGTTCTGAATAATTGAGAGTTAACTATAATTATCTTGTTTCAAATGAGCTTGTAGGCATGCATAATTGAATTTCTCTTATGCTTTAGCCTTGTTTTCATTTGCAATGTTTTTTTAAAATTTATTAAATTGTTTAACACCTATAACATCTATTTTTTCTTGAAATACTTTGTTTTCTTGCCATGTTTTGTTTCATTTGCGTGTAATAGAGGATGATCTTTTGATTGGAACGCTTCCTACAATTGAAAAGCTTTGTGAGACACCACCAGGTATTGTACTAGAAGCAGATTTACATGTTAATGAAACATCCTTATGCATTACAGTTAATAATATTGTATTTATTTTGAAACAAATCTCTCCAGCTATTTCTGGTGTCTAGCAGATACAAGTAGCTTGAAAGCTCAAGTACTTAAGTTATATGTTGCTGAAGTCACCAAAATTTGATATAGACACTTTTATACAACACAATTTTCCATCTATTCCCCCCTCCCCCACCAACAAGCTGAAAATTGGTCTCTCTTGATTCTTCAGTTTTTCATTACTACATTCTTGGAAGAAAAATGAATATATTTTTACTTTGACAATCTTCATTCTCATAAGACAAGGAGATAAAACCATTTCTGTATTTCTAAATAACACAAGGCTTTGAAGATACAGTTAATAAAGAAAATATTTTAAAATACATTTCATTTTTATGGCAGCAGTGTAGCCAATATTAAAATTTCCTGAATCATTGTTCCTAAACTGAACTAAAACAATTTGATGTGACTTTTATTTTCTCTTTTTATGGCCAATGATGCTGTCTTTTATTTTGCACTTTGGCAACCTCTTTGAGTGTGTCAATGCAACTATTTGCATGTTTGTGTCATTAGCTGTTGTGTCAGCACAGCTGAAGGGCTATTAACAGTGGTTGGGGCTGAGGCAGGTGGCAGGGCATCAAAGCCAGATTTGCTGGTGCTGCCAAAGGTCTCAGAACTGGACCTGTGAGCTTGACTACAGCCTAAAATACCATGCGTCCACCTTGGCACAGCTCTTTGACATCCTGTCCTGAGAACTTGCGGCGAGCGTCTGATACAGGCTGTTTCACCAGTGGTACAAAAAATTTAGTAAGATGCTTTCTACTACACTATTGCACTAATAAAATGATAGAACTTCAAGTGCTGTCTCTTATAGTCAGTACACATATAAAACACTACTGAAAAGTAAAATCCCATGACAAATATTTTGTCAATTTGCATTTGACATTTCAGTAATTTCAAAAAGCTTTAGCTGAGGTTTGAGTTACTTTTTATAGTTATGCATTGTAACTTTGTTGTGTAGGCACAGACACATGAAGGCTGACACTGGCCTGGTAATTATTTTTCTCGTAAACTGATACATATTTCTAGGTACCTCCAAGGTACTCCCAGAATCTTTACTAGGTAAGCATTAGAAAATTAGCAAAATATTTCTCCAACAATTTCTATTTTGAAATTGCAATCTTTGTTGTTTGAAATAGTTAAAAGAATGTTCAACAGTTCACTTAAATGGGGTAATAATAATGTATGTGCATTTATGTTCATACATACTCCAACTGAATTCTTTGTATTTCTGTGACTATTTTATCATACATTTTTCCATACTATAAGCATACAGTAGGGACTTTTTTAAAGTATTGTAGTTAACATCTAATTTTCTTTGGATCTGTTGACTTCAGTTTTATCAGTAGCCATTTTAATGCAGTGTTCCTCTGTCTCATCTGTATTTCCTTGTGTCTGTCCATTTACAAAATGCCATATTGATAGTCTTGTTTTTCTATGCTGCTAAGCAGTGTTTTGATGGTGTGATTGTACTGTATTGCATTTATACTTTTCAACATGCTTTTCAAGTAATATTTCAGACTCTGCTGTGACCATGATGGTAGTAACCTCTCGTAAAAATGACAGGTGTAGTCAACCATTCTGAAATCTGTTGCTAAGCTTTTTGAAAATTAAACCTATACACTGTATGTATTCTAGGTGTTTCACGTGGTCCCAGCCCTGTCAGACTTGGAAACCAGGACATCGTGCCTGTTGCAGTAGCCCTTACTGAATCTGTTAACGCCTACTTTAAAGGAGCAGATCCCACAAAGTTAGTTAAATAGTAAATTGTTTTGAATGTAATAAGTTACAATAAAAGAATTCACTGGTTGTACTTTTAATATTTTGGGGAAAAATATATATACATTAGAAGGTGGATTCACAGGGTTTTTTCCCCGATATAACTGACATCAGTGACATCACTTTCTATTGGCCTGCATCTGACTAAGAGTTCATATATCCCTGCTTTACAAAAATGTGTTTAGTAAGAAAAACAAAAATAAGAAGGGTTTCTACTACAGTCAGGTAGGTGCTGCATGTAAACTTGGACAGCTTAAAAGTATCTCATTCCCTCTGTCATATTGCTTTATATACTACTTAGGCCTTGCCTAAGCATAGTTCTGCTATGTTTTCAAAGCCTGAGAAATAACCACCCATACTACTGTATGCTTAACCAGCTAAACATTTTTCTTATTTCATCTGACTTCCAAGTTGAAAGTGATAATACGTTGTCATTGTGCCACATTACCCTCATTTGAAATTGATTTTAGAATCATAGGATATGCTGAGTTGGAAGGGAGCCATCAGGATAATTTGAGTCCAACTCCTGGCCTTGCACAGGACCACCCCAAGAATCACACCATGTGCCTGAGAGCATTGTCCAAAGACTTCTCAAACTCTGTCAGGCTTGGTGCTGTAGCCACTTCCCTGGGGAGCCTGTTCCAGTGCCCAACCATCCTCTGGGTAAAGAACCCTTTTGTAATATCCAACCTAAACCTCCCCTAACACAACCTGAGGCCATTCCCTCTGGTCCTGTCCTGGCGCTGTCCCTCCACTTCCCCTCGTGAGGATATTGAAGACCACAATGTCTCCCCTCAGTATCCTCTTTTCCAGGCTGAACAGACCAAGTGACCTCAGCCACTCCTCTTATGGCTTCCCCTCTAGGCCCTTCACCATCTTCATGGCCCTCCTTTGGACTCTCTCTTATAGCTTAATGTCTTTCTTATATTGTGACACCCAAAACTGTACACAGGACTCAAGGTGAGGCCACACCAGTGCAGAGCAGAATGGGACAATGCCCTCCCTTGACTGGCTGTCAGTGCTGTGCTTGATGCACCTCAAGACACGGTTGGCCCTCCTGGCTGCCAGGACACTGCTGACTCATTCAACTTGCCATAGAGCAGGACCCCCAGGTCCCTTTCTGTGGCGCTGCTCTCCAGCATCTCATTCCCAAGTCTATACACACAACCAGGGTTGCCCCATTCCATGTGCAGAATCCAGCACTTGCCCTTGTTAAACTTCATACAGTTGGTGATTGCCCATCTCTCTAATTTGTCAAGGTCTCTGCCTTCAAGGGAGTTGACAGCTCCTCCCAATTTAGTGTTGTTGGCAAATTTACTTAGTATTCCTTCGAGTCCTGTGTCCTGGTTGTTAATGAAGATGCTGAAGAGAACTGGGCTGAGGACAGAGCCCTGTGGAACCTCACTAGTGACCAGTCACCAGACTGATGTTACCTCATTTACTAAAACCCTTTGTGCCTGACCCATGAAGCAGTTGCTCACCCATCGCATAACATGGTTATCCAGATGTGTGCTGGACATTTTGTGCAGAACGATCCTGTGAGAGAATGCATCAAAAGCTTTGCTTGAAGTCCAAAAAGATTATATCTACTGGCTTTCCTGGATCAACTAGGTCAGTTACTTTGCCATAGAAGGAAATCAGGTTTGACAAGCAAGACTTTCCTCTCATGAAGCCATGCTGGCTGTGACCCATGACTGCATTGGTCTCCCACTGTTTTTCAATACCTCCCAGAATAATCTTTTCCATTATTTTATCAGGTACTGAAGTGAGACTGACAGGCCTGTAGTTTCTGAGGTCCTCCTTCTTGCCCTTCTTGAAAATTGGGACAATGTTATCCAGCCTCCAGTCAGATGGGACCTCTCCAGATTCCCAAGAGCGCTCATAAATCACCAAGAGAGGCTTTGCAATGACATCAGCCAGCTCTTTGAGGATTCTCAAATGAATCCCATCAGGCCCCATAGATTTGTAGGGATCCAGCTGGAGCAGCAGATCCCGCACAAGTTCAGGGTCAACTGGGAATTGATCATTCTTGCAGTTATGGCAAGGGCTCAGGGCACTGAGACTGCCTTGGTCCATCATCAGTGTCTTAAGTGTTAGACACCTCTGCCTTGTCCATGTCCCTGTTTGTGAGGTGACCATCATCATCCTGTAACAGGGCGATATTATTTCTGCACTCTTTTGACATTAAGATATTTGAAAAAACTCATAATCTAATTTTAACTCCCCTGCCATGGGCAGGGACATCTTCCACTAGACCAGGTTACTCAGAGGCCCATCCAGTCTGGCCTATAACACCTCCAGGGATGAGGAGTCCACAACCTCTCTGGGCAACCAGTTCCAGTGCCTCACCACCCTGACAGTAAAGAAATTTTTCTTAATATCTAACCTAAACTTACCCTCCTTCAGCTTAAGACCATTCCCCCTTGTCCTATCACTACATGATCTTGCAAAAAGTTTCTCTCCAGCTCTCTTGGAACCCCTTCAGGTACTGGAAGGTGCTATAAGGTCTCTCCAGAGCCTTCTCTTCTCCAGGCTGAACAGCCCCAGCTCTCAGCCTGTCTTCATAGCAAAGGTGCTCAAGCCCTCAGAGCATCTTCATGGCCTCCTCTGGGCTCGCTCCAACAGGTCCACATCTTTCTTGTGTTGGGGGCCACAGAACTGTACACAGTTCTCAGATGGGGTCTCACAAGAGTGGAGTAGAGGGGCAGAATCACCTCCCATGACCTGCTGGTCATGCCTTTTTTGATGCAGCCCAGGATACAGTTGGCTTTCTGGGCTGCAAGTGCACACTGCCAAGTCTGCCTATTTTCTGCTTTGAAATCAGCTCATCAGATTGTAAAAGTATGATTGATTTAAAATTAATATTAAAACTAGGCAGTTAATGAATTGCAATAAAATTGATATTTTCATTCTCTTCTAGATGTATTGTGAAGATCACTGGTGATATGACATTATCATTCCCAAGTGGGATTATTAAAGTCTTTACCAGCAACCCATCTCCAGCAGTGCTCTGCTTCAGGGTAAAAAACACAAGCAAACTAGAGCACATTCTTCCAAATGCACAACTTGTACACAGGTTTTGTATTTTTATTTAATATAATAGTAAAGTACATGAATTTTAAAATGTGAATTTTTGTATATGTAAATCAGAATTCTCTACAATCTTGATTTGCTTATACATAACTTACTTTTCTGAACTAATCTTGTTTAGCTCGGTTCTTTTTCACTGCTACCATTAAAAATCTCAGAGATTACTGGACTTGAAACTTATGCTGAATATAACAGGAAACAAAAATAGTTTTTAATTTTAGCTGTGTTTTTACACGTTTAATGAATAAAATGGTTTAAGAAACTTTTTAAAAACAACCAAAAAACCACAATTTTTCTAATCAAACTATATGAACAGTATAACTAATATAACTACAGAGAAAAATTGCCAAAAATAGGACACATTGTCATATGGGTTTCTTTATACAATAATAACAATGGTTTCATTTGTCAGTTATTAACATAGGTTTTCAAGTGTATAATTTCTGTGGTAGATTAGATCCATTACAAAACCGTACCTCTCAAGTGTATAGAAGCATGCTTGGGAGAATTCTTAAGAAGAAAAGCTGCTGGTTGAGTAGAATAATAAAGTAATTGTTTGGACATCTTTAAAAAAAAAAAGAAAAACAAAAAGCAGATATCTGTTTTAGCTGAGCACTTTCCATTTCATTTATTGGAAAAATTATTTGAAACAATCAAACCACATGTATCCATTCTTTTGTAATAATTTTATTGTGATAATTCATAATGTAAGGAATGATTCTTACAAAATTAAATTTGTCATTCTTTGACATGACAGTTTATAACTGAAATGTTAGCAGAGCTGTATCTGACAGTGAATTCTACTGAAAAATTCTATTTTGGAAAAAAGTGAAAATTTCTAGTATTCTTGTCTGAGTATTGTAACACTTCACCTCTAATTAGAAAGGATGCAAGTACTGGATATTAATGAAATTAAACCTATATGGTAATAATTTGACATTTCATATACTGCAATGACTATCATTTGCTTAGTATTTATAGAGATGAAACTTTTTAATGTGACTGATACTTGTGTAGACGTCAGAAATTCTGAAGGAGAAAACAGAACGATTTTGCTACTGGTTTCATTTGTTTACATTTTGGAAGGCCTCTGTTATAAGTGTTTATCTATATATTTTACTGAAAATGGAAATTGCATGAATGACAACACTGTATTGAGAACCAAATTCTAAGTAAATTGGACAGGCTACTGGTATGTAAATAATTGTTCTGGCACATTCAACCTATTGCAGTCATATTTACTGTGTTCCAGGTGCTTCTTTTCAGCTTTCATTCTGCATGCGCTTTCTGCATCCCTCCTTGGGGATTGGTGTGATGCCTTCAGTTTTAGCTTTTATATTTTTCAGATCCTGTACTGCATTAGTGTATAACTCTGAACTGCATATAAAGTGTTAGTAAGGTCTCTTCACATTTTGGTCAGACAAAACAGTCTTTCCAGGCCTGAGAACCAAGGACACTATCTGCCTCAGGCCCCAGAAAGTATAAACAAAAGTGAATTGAGGGGGAGCAAACTGGGGGAATGTGACTTCATTACCTGAAGCTATACTTGGACAATTAACCTCTGATATGCAAATAGACCAAAGTTATATCTCCTCGAAAAACTCGTGACTGTCATCCATCTCAGGTGTAGCCTCTGCGAGGCTTTTGCACTGCCCAAGGTGTATCTATTGAAAGCCTTTAATAAATACCTACTTTATTTTCTAACTCTCTCTAGCCTCTGTTCTAAGTAGCCACTCCAAGGCATCTGGTGCAGTTCCTCTATGTATCCACAGATGATCTGTGGAGCTCTGATTCTTAAGTGATTTGAATTTTGCTTCTGAATCAGTTTTCTTAAAAGCTTCATCCTTATTAAAAAAGAAACCTGATGCCACCAGAACTGAAAATCTTGAGTTGCAAAACACCTTTTCATGCTCCAGTAGTTCCCAACCAGGATTTTGCTTCTGTAGTCATGTGCACTCTTAGCTACATATAGTAATTATATAATAAATTGTTACTAAGATTAAATGTAGCTATAAGTATCTGAGAAACTTTTAACTGAAAATATTTTGAAAGCTTACACTATAAATAAGTGAAAGTGTGGTAACACATTCAGCACAAATTTTAATTCAATGCATTAGTGAAGCTGTCATAACAAAAGCTAATAATGATTCTAGGATTTATTCCAAACTGGATAACATTCCTCTTCAAACACCGTTTTCATTCCCACCTCCCACTCATTCTCATGGCACCTGACTGTATTAAAATTGGTTTTTATTGAATGTAAAATCCAAATTTGGCATTCACTCCATCTTGTGAAGCAGATAATCAGTGCAGGAAACTCACTGCTTGACAACCTGGAAGGAGAAGTTTTTTGAGCTACAACAGTTAATTTGTCTTAATATTTAGGAAGATACAATTATGTGTTATAAAGCATTAGAACAAATTCTTGCTTGGAACAATAAAGAAGGGGAAAGATCTAGTCTTAATTTTTTAGACATAAGAAATAATAAAACTCAGTGTTGATTTTTGATTCCTACCTTTCTTTTTCTTTGTAGTGATCAGTCACAAAGTGACTCTAGTACTAAGGATTTTTGGATGAACATGCAAGCCATAACTGTCTACCTCAAGAAATTATCACAGCACAATCCATCTGCATCCTATTATAATGTGGATGTTTTAAAGTATCAGGTAAACACTTTTTTCCCTTTGGAATTTTTTTAAGAACTCTGGTCTATACAGAAATTATAAGAATTGTTCTTTGCCTGTTTGAATGCAGATGAATTGTCATCTGTCATCTAGGCCAGTTCTGAGTGCATCACTGTTTTCAGTGCCTGGGCTCTGCCAAGGCTGAGTGAATTCATGTTATGCCTTCATGACATTCCCTGTTCATTCATGACCTGTTTCAGCTTGCTGACACTTTGATCCAATTAATGTGTGTAAGCGTCAAACACTTTACCTATTTGTTAATGAAGTTAAGTTTTTCTTGAATTTAGGGGGTTTGGTCAGGATTTGAGTTTGTATTCTATTTTGATTTTGTAATTGCATAGTTTTTGAATGCTGTAACTAATAAATTGTAATATATGGAGACACATAATATTCTCACCTCTCACAATATAATGAAACAACTCATCCTGGGAACCACTTAGAGGCACATGAAAGCCAAGAAGGTCATTGGGAGTAGTCAGCATGGCTTCACCAAGGGAAAGCCATGCTTGACCAATCTGGTATCTGTGATGAAATGACTGGCCTGGTAAATGAGGGGAGAGCAGTGGATATTGTCTACCTAGACTACAGGAAGGCTTTTGGCACTCATAGAGAAGCTGATGAAGTGTGGGCTAGATTAGGAGACAGCAAGGGGGATTGAAAACTGGCTGAACAGCCAGGCCCAGAGGATGATGGTCAGTGTCATAAGGCCTAATTGAAGACTAAAAAAAAAAACTGGTTTGACTTATGAAAGCCAGAACAGGAATGAGCCTTGTGGGCCAGAGGTAGTTTAAACCTTTTAAAATTTATTTAAATAATTTTTTTAAACCAACAGGAATTACTTTAGGCTATAACAATCTTCAGAATTCTAAGATTAAGGGCACAGAGGTCAATTGTTCTGTTGGTCATTTGTCAGGATTTATACTCATTACCATCTTTTCCTAATTCTGCCCAAAATAGGAATATTTTAATTAAGACCTTTTCAATGGTTTATTCTTTTACAGGTATCTTCAAATGGCACCCAGTCTACTCCCTTGAATCTTGCAACTTACTGGAAATGTAATGCTAGCACTACTGATGTGAGAATGGATTATAAATATAATCCAGAGTCTATGAATGTGCCTAGTATGCTGTCTAATGTGCAGGTTGTGGTACCAGTAGATGGTGGAGTAAAGAACATGCAATCACTTCCACCTGCAAAATGGTAATATTAATGGTTTTCTTTTTATTATTTCAAATTAATTTCAGAGTATTCATTAGTGTCAGCCTGAAAAATGTCACCAGAAGAAACAGATTTTTTTTTTTCCTCTTGATAAAATGCATGGTATCAGATGTTTTGGACATTTTCTGGTCCAAAACAGATGATGTACAGCCAATTCACATAGACTAAAATGAGATTATATGCACCCGTTCCAACTGTGCAATAATAAAAACATTTCTGAATACAAGCATTTCTGAAATTTCCAGTGTTTGCTTTCTTTTTGCCAATAGACAGGATAGATATTTTAAATAGCATGATTTGAACAAAAATATCTTAATGGCTAAAAAACATATATATCTCTGTGTGTATGTATTAAACATATCAAGATATATAGGTTATATATAGAGAGAGTAGAAGAAATGCAGTTTTAAAAAATATTTCTTGGTGGTTCTAGCTTAAAAATTGGCTTATAATTGAAATAATTTTTAAAACAAACTTCAGTAGATGAGGAGCTCTTCATGAGCCAGATAGCACTGTCTCTCAGTTCAAGTGTCATGCTGATCATTATGACTCACACCTACCTGGCCCCACCTTCTAAGCCTGCAGACCATTTACAGCAGCAATTGAAAGTGAGACATCTCAGAAAATTGTTTCTACGAGTTTGTGAAAACAGCAGAGGATATCAGGGCTAGGCAATGTGACATACTTAGAGCAAAAGGTGAACAGAATTCAATCACTGTGCCTATGGTTTGGCAGCACATAGGTACTTGCCCAGCTGTAATGTAATCCCCAGACTGTTTATTTTCAAGAGGAACAAGAGGGTCATTTCAACATGAAGGTTAAGAGGGCAAAGAATACCAAGTTTTGGGAAGTCAGACTTTGTTAACCTTATTACTTATAGATGTGTTTACCTTATAAAGCAAAGTTCAGAAATAAAATAAGCCTGGTGTATTTATCAGAAAGGTTCTGATGTTTCTGGAGGCAATACATTTAAATGTGTTAATTGGACAAAGTGGTAATACAATATAATTTTAAGTGGAAAAAATCCTGTCAAGATGGAATCTTTCTTGACTTGGTATTTCAAGGGAGCAATACTTTTAACCAAATCACCTTAAGTTTATTCTGAGCAAGGGCAGGTTCAGTATCTTGCCTCCCCAACTTTACTAGAACTTTTGGTGAAGCCAGTGTCCCCCCTCCCTGCTCAGGCTTCTTCAACAAACCCCTCAGTAATGAAACCTGAGTGAGGGTAGGAATGCCCACTCAGAACACTTAGTGTTACCTAGAAAGACTCAAAACTTAGTGACAATTTCATTTCAGATTCATCAGAGTAAGGGACTTGAGCCCCATGTATTCTCTCTTTTACCTAGTCAACTACCCAAGGCTGGAATTTTGAGCCTTGAAAGCAGAGCAAAAAATAGTCATGTCCCAGGCAGCTCTAGTATGTGTCTCCTACTATATGCTTGGTCTAGTGGGTTGGGTGGTAGAGTTTTGGGGTTTTTTTACGAATAAATGTTTTCTGATTCGACCTCCTGCAAGTAACCACTACCATCTATGCTACTTGTGTGAGCATTTCACTCCTGGTACACCAATGCCAAAGACAGTTTCAAACCTATCATCACTTCATGCTGCTCACAGCTTTAAGTTGTAGACTTTCCTTTGATGGAACAGCTGCAATGTGCTGAAAGAGTTTAAATGCCCTGTCAACTTAGAGACTATGGTTCTTGGTTCCCTTTGCTTTTCTTCCCCTTTACAGCATCAGAAGTTAGCTTAAACCCTGAGTCACTTCTGCCAACTTGTTTTACTAGAATGGAAATGGAATAAAATTCACACAGCCAGGAGTCTCACATAGAGGAGAACAAACAGTAGTGCTCCACCTCATACTATCATTGTGAAGCATAAAGACCCAGCTTTCAAACTGCTTCCAGCATTTTTGGCCTGCCCTTACCTTTTGAGACCACAGAGGGTTTTGAGTTGTGGAGCTATGACCTGGGCATAGAACAGTGTTAACTGTATAAAAACATGCTATGTATGTCTGAGCTCTGCTGCAAGCTCGGGGTAATGCAGGTACACCCTTTTGTTTTCTTTTTTGCTTTGTATACTTTTCCACAAACTCACTTTAAAATTATGACATATTTTTATAAACCTCCATTGAGAGATGTAGGTTATAGGCACATGGTTTGTAAGGTACCAGTGTAAATCTGGGAAAATAATATAAATAATTGAAATTCTAAAAATCAATGCTTATAACTAACCTTCCATTGCCTTACAGGAATGCAGATCAGATGAAAGCTTATTGGAAAATATCTAGCATTTCTGAGAAGTCTGAGAATGGAGGCAAGTTGAACTCTTTTGTTTTCTTGTACAGACAAATGATAGTAAAAAGGTAGTCAGCCTCTACGCCTTCATGCCTGTTTACACTTGCCATATCCTGTTTATCAGTTCACCTTCTTCTCAATGAAATTCCTCCTGAGAGATTCTATTAACAGTGAGATGTAAAAATATTAACTGATTATAAAAAGCAAAATAGTGAAGCCCCTTGAAAGCAGTTAGTGCCACTAAAACAGTTTAGACTGGGCAAGAAAATAATTACATCAGTGCTAGTTGGAAATGAGCAGTTATTGAAAAGGAAATATGTTTAATATCTGTATTATGATTTTCCACATGCTAACAATTGAGATAAAGTAGAAAGAGGTAAGTGGAAGAACCGGGGAAAAGAAAAAAATCCAAAAGTCCTGCACTGAGATAGACTTGATTATAGACAATTCTTCACTGACTTTTTTTTTGTTTTGTTTTGGGTTTTTTTTTTTGTTTTTTTTGGTTTTTTGGGTTTTTTTGTTTTGACCATGTACAACTCCAGGAAAAAAATCTATGTACATCTGCTCAGAGTGGTAATTTATATAGCATTTTGTAAGGTACCAATAGTTGTCCTCTGCCCAGCTGCCTTTCCCTGAGGTCCAGTTGATGTCACAGCCCTTTTAACCATTGCAGGTGCTATGTTTTTTTTAAACACTTGAATATATGTTTCCATACTTACAGTGAAAAGAAGTTCCAATTTATCCAAATTATGACAGACCTATTGAAGAAATAGACTTTAAGCCAAGAACAAACCATTGCATAAAACAATTTCATTCATCAATTCCTGTTTTTACCCTAGTAACATTTCACTTACTAGCTTTCCTCCTCACTTGGCAGTTCCTACTGACTAGTTGTTTTAAATAAATAAAAATACTTGACTTGCACTATTCCATTAATTCATTGTTTAAATTTCTTTTATTTTCTCAGCATATTTTGCAAGAACAAGAAGAGTCTTGTTTAAGAACTAGAAAAAGAGACCAACAATAATTTTGGGGGGGTTTATGTCTTGCATTGACTACAAAGGTGTACTTAAAGCAATTTTGAACTATTACTACTTTATAATGTCACTGAAGTGAATTTTGCCATTGTCTATAAAAAAGCAACTGTTTTTTGGGAAATGTATTTAATCAAACCTTGCATTTATTACAAAAATAAGAATTGCTTTCCTCTTGCTAAATTACTGTTCAACTGCATTTCTTCCAATGGTTTTGTTCATGTGCATTCATCCAGGCAAATTGTGACAGCATTAAAATATTCTAATGTGCTTTAAAGTCTGCTAAAGAAAAGTACTACATACAAGATAAACCAGGAAGCATAAATGATGAGTATAGGGAACAATCAGGTATTTAATGTAATAGAAGACTACCAGGCTGTCTGATATACACATTATTCTATGAGTATAATCTTGTAGAAATGTGTATTGCTTTCCTCTAAATCATTCACTAGTCACTGTCTTAAACAGAGTATTGGAAAAAGAGAGTTGTACTCTCATGTCTTCTGAAAATCTATATAGGACTGCCACTAGGAATAGCTCTTAAAGATCACCATGTTAGTTCTGCTCCTTACTACTAAAAATTCTGGGAGATCACCTTGGTTTTGAAAAACAACTAGCCTTTCAGTTTTGTTATTTTTATAGGTTCTGGATCCCTCAGAGCAAAATTTGAACTTTCAGAAGGACCCAGTAAACCAGCAACACTTGCAGTGCAATTCATTAGTGAAGGAAGCACCCTTTCAGGAATAGATGTAGAGCTAGTAGGCAGTGGCTATCGACTTTCCCTCCTTAAGAAGAGATTTGCCTCTGGTAAGACACTGATGTGCTTATATATTCAAATTAATATGATATATAGTGCTAAATTATACATTATGCCACTCTTTATTAAGTGATGCATAAATAATTACTTTTCCTCAAAAATGTGGCTGAAAACTGTTTTACTTTTTTTGTTTTCCATAGTTAGTCAAATTGCTTGCAGAAAAAGACTGAAAAAATCTGTTTTATCTACCAATTGACAAAATCCTACCTTTATTTTTCAGGACGGTATATGGCAGACTGCTGATTAACATGTGGAAGTCGTTGCATCAAAGGAGTACAAGAAGCTTGCTCTGCCCTCTCTACTTTTCAAACACTATTTTAACATGCATTAATTTTTTTTTAAAATGTTGATCTACTCTGAGGTTTAATCATCAGAACAGAAAATGCACTTTTAAAAGTAATTTTGCAAACTTTTTATTACTTTATAATAGCACTGAAATTAACTTTAACATTGTCTGTAAATGATCATTAATAAGTTTATATTTGAAGTCAAAATAATAATCAGTAGTTGTAATGAAAGTATGAAATTGAATGTTATACTGTAAATATTTAACCTAAAAATATGGGAAAGCAAGTAAGAAATATTTCATCTTTCCATAAGCAAGATCAATTTTTCAGATTCTTCAACTGCCCGTTTGAAAAGAAAGCAGAGGCAAAGTCTCACAGTTTTTCTATTGACTCAGGCCAGCTGAATTAGAGAAGTGTAAAAAAAATTTAACTTACTGCCTGCCTGTGTATCGTATATTATTATATAGGGTTTTTTTCCAAAGTGCAATGTGTTACAAAAGTTGCAAAAGACAGAAGGGATTTACTTCTGCAGCTAGAAAATTTTATGGGTGTTGTGATTGTTTGAATCAATGCTGTAGATTTAATTTATTTTTATATGAATTGAATAACATTTGTGCCTTTAAAAAACAACTGTGCCTATCCACTTTGTTGTTTACATGATTCAATTCCTTTATCAAATTTTGGCTCTTCAGCAAGTAAGCACAGTGTTAGTATAATAGATGGAACTTTATAAAAATTCCTTTTACTGGGATTTAGAAAGCAGATTTGCAAAACAAGAGGTTATTTAAAAAGAGGTTTCAAATACTGGTTTACTTCCTCATGGGGTAGTTCAATAAATGCAGCTGTAGTAAAGGGAGATGCATCATACGGGACTTTGAGATAGTAACTTTAATGTCACCAAAGATGAAAATCCTGAAAAATCACAGAAGATGGTAAAAGCAAAGAGCATTTCCTTTCACTTGGACTGCAAACCTTTGGCATTTAAGTGCTTTGAGGGTTCTGTGATGTGAATGCAAACATAATACTTTGGGAGAAATAGCATTTTAGAAGGGTATTTTATAGCAGCAGGATGACAAGTACTGCCACAGTTTAATTTTTTATCTAAATCCACCAACTTTAGTATTTGTATTGGCATCTAATCTGCTTGCCACAGCCTTTGCACAAGGAAGTGACTCATAAATAATGCATTTTAAAGTCACTAATTTAGAAAATCTTTAATGCGTGTTTATTATCAAGTGGGGTTTTTTTGATGACGAAATCAAAAGTATTGGGGCAAAATAATTCAGTAACCTACAAGTGGGAATTTTATATGACCATTTTGAATACCAGTATATTTCAAACTTTCTACTGAAACAATAAAACTTGCTTCAACTAATTCATGCAAAACCAGTAATGAATTGGACTGCTGAAACTTGACAATAAATTAAGCTGTGTAGAGGTTACATAAATTCTAATGTATACTACACACTTTTGCAGATAAGAGTTCCATTATTATCATTAAGCACATACTGTACTATAGATTTGATTGGAAGAGTATATTTGGCTCTTAACTTGCTAATCTTATTGAATGGCAAATTTCTAACTCATATAAAATGGTACAGCCATTTTACTGAAATAGTAATTGTAATCTGCTTTGCAATCAAACCATATTTAGCATGACAATATTTTATTCATGAAACCCCAAAGCTGTATTGCTGGTTTTAGTCAAGTATTGTTTTCATTTCTTAATTAAATAAAGCAGTTCTGTTTCAGCCCTTTTCAACTAAGTGATTATACATATATTTGCATTGGGTGCAAGTTATAATTTTGAAGCCATACAAGTTTATATAGACTTTTTGTAAAGAAATTTTAAAACAATGTAGAAAGTACATGTGTCTGAGAAGAAAACCATATGTAGCAAGCTGGTTCTTGCTTCTGTATACAGCATTACCCTTTTTAGCTGGCTCCTAAGGAAATTAATTTGTAAACAAAGCTTTAAAAGATGTGAATTTTTATGGATTCTTAGTACATTGGACTGTAAATTACAGCATACAAGTTTATTTTAAAAAATTGTAAATACTTTGGATTTTTCATACAAGAAATTTTGAAAAAAAATTGCACCATAATAAACATGTAATATATAATTTAAATGCCATTTTATATTGCTTATACTTTCAGTTAGTCCCAAAAAGCTTTACGCAATGATAGAACAAAACTATGACTGTATTGAACATTTTAAGGTGTTAATTGGTTTGTAGGTGATAAGTAGTAGATCTAATCAGAACAGGAAAGACACAGACCTGTTGGAGCAGATCCAAAGAAGGGCCACAGGAATGATCAGAGGACTGGAGCCCATCTGCTGTGAAGACATGCTGAGAGACTTGTGGTTATTCAACCTGGAGAAGAGAAGGCTCTGGGAAGACCTTATTGCTGCCTTTGAGTGTTTCAAGGGGGCTTATAAGAAGGATGGGGACAGACCTTTTAGTTGGGCCTGTAGCAATAGGACAAAGGGTAATGTTTTTAAATTAAAGCAGGGTAGATTCAGACTAGAAGAAAGTTTTTACCATGAGGATTGTAGACACTATAACATTCAAGGCCAGGTTAGATGGGGCTCACTAGATCAGGTTGCTCAAAGTCTGGCCTTGTACACTTCCAGGAGTGGGGAATCCACAACAACTCTGGGCAACCTGTTTCAGTGTCTCACCATGCTCAGAGTAAATAATTTCTTCCTAATATCTAATCTAAACCTGTCCTCTGGCAGTTTGAAGCCATTCCCCCTCGTCCTATCACTCCATGCCCTTGTCCATAGTCCCTCTCTATCTCTCTTGTAGCCCCTTTAGGTACTGGAAGGTGTTATAAGGTCTCCCAAAAGCCTTCTCCAGGCTGAACAGTCCCAACTCTCTCAACCTGTCTCCATAGCAGAGGTGCTCCAGTGTTGCAGTGAGTAAGAAATGACACAGACTCACCAGAAGGCTGGTTTGTACAGCATAGTACGTCTTTACTTCGGATCCTGTTTTATACATTGTTCTGATACAGATAGACCTGGTTGGTCAGTTAATCAATACATTTCACCTGATTGGCTAATTAACAAAACACCTTTCTTATAAACAATCTTTGAGAAAAACAAGAAAATAGAGAGTAGGAAAACAACACCTTCAGGTTGTTTATAATAATAAGCTATCATTGTTTATCTTCAACTCCCTAAAGTCTCACAAGCTGATTCTGGGAAAACTTATCTAGTTTTCTTGCTCTCTGACCAGGCTGTCACATCCACACTCCAGCCCTCTGATCATCTTCCTGGCCCTCCTCTGGACTCTGACCAGCAGGTCCACATCCTTATGTTGGAGACCCCAAAGCTGGATGCTGTACTCCAGGTAGGGTCTCACAACAGCAGAGTAGAGGGGAAGAACCACCTCACTCAACCTCCTGGCCACACTGCTTTTGATGCAGCCCAGAATGTGGTTGGCTTTGTTCCACATGCACATTGCCAGGTCACATTGTTATGGATAGAGTGGGAGCTTCAGACAAGCCCTGCCTTAGGCTCAGATTTTTGGCAATATCTTAAATTTAGGTGGCCTGCACCTAAATCGCTCCAGCTCACAAGTTCTAAGAATGGCCAATTTGGTCTGTTATAAAATGAGTTATTTATTGAATAGACAGGAGATAACAGACAAGACACCTTAAACAGAGTTACTTACTGCACAGTATAAAACCAAAAAGAACTACTAGTATATTACATAAAACAGTGCATGACATTGAGGTATCTATATTAAAGCTAGCAAAGAAATAGTATAGGTAACTGCAAGGCTGGAGTCCTAAACCTTGGGGAAAAGGCCCTACACATTTCCAGGGAATGTGTAGAAGACTTCTTCTTTGTGAAAATTTGGTGTTGCTTTTATAGTTCGTAAAATGGAATGTCTGTCAGTCAGAAATTCCAACTTATCTTTCCACATCTCGCTTCCACAGCAAGATGTTTACTGTGAGCTGAAAGCATCCATTCCATGGCACCAAAATAACTCACTTCAAGGCAAACTGTCCTGATTGAGTTATTTCATCAAGTCTCATGTGAGGCTCATGTGAGAGTGAGATGCCCCGAGTTATTGCACCAGCTAACAAACAGATAAGCTCTTGTAGAGAGGGGCAATGCCCTGCTATACATGTTGAGCTTGTTATCAATCAAAATCCCCCAAGTCCTTCTCAGGGCTGCTCTCTATCCATTCTCCACCCAGTCTGTACTTGTGTTTGGGATTGTCCCGACTCAGGTTCAGGACCTTGCACTTCACCTTGTTGAACTTCATGAGATTGACACAGACCCAGCTCTCAGTCCAGTCCAGGTTCCTCTGAATGGAGTCCCTTCCCTCCAGCATGTCAACTGCGCCACACAGCTCAGTGTCATTGGCAAACCTGCTGAAGATGCACTCAATTCCACTGTCCATGTCACTGACACAGATGTTAAACAGCACCAGTCCCAACACTGACCCCTGAGGATACCACTCATCATTAGTCTCCACTTTGACATAGAGCTGTTGACCACAACTCTAAGTGTGACCATGATGCCTAAAGAGGCTACCTGGAACTTTAGAAAGAGTTAAAGGAATAAAGTAGGTATTTATTGAAAGGCTTTCAAAGAATACACCTTGGGCAGTACAAGAGCCCGGCCGTGGCTCTGCCCAAGATGGACCCAAGATGGATGCAGGATGGATGATCGGTTGTGAGTTTTCACACTTTCATAAATTTTGGTCCATTTACATATTGGAGTCAATTGTCTAATTACAGCTTCAGGTTATGAAGTCCCATCCTCCCAGTTTGCTGTCTTCAATTCGCCGTTGTTTATACTTCTTTGGGCCTGAAGCTGCAACAGTGTCCTTGGTTCTCAAGCTGGAAAAGGATTGTTTTGTCTAACTACCCTGTGAAGAGAACTTACTAATACTTTATATGAAATTCAGAGTTATACACTAAGTCAGTACAGAATCTGAAAAATATGAAAGCTAAAACTTAGAGCATCATTTCCTCCCTTTAGAGGCTTGACAAGGGCTTTGCCTTGTCAAGTGTCTATTCTAAATATCTACTAATAATAGGTATTTAATAACAGATAAGTATCTAACAATAGTAAATATCTAACAATAGTAAATAACTAACAACAGTAAATATCTAACAACAGATAAATATCTAACAGTAGCTAAATATCTAAAAATAGATATCTAATACTAGTAAATGTCTAACAGTAAATATATAATAATATATAAATATCTAAAAATAATAATAATTATAAACAGTAATAAATATCTAACAGTAGAAATGTCTTGCACAGTTGGCTATCATACAAAGAAGGATAATTATTATTATGAACAGTTCTTTAGGCACAGAAGAGGAACCATTTAAAACATGTTTTCATCTGCATCAGTCTCTGTTTTTTCAGTTGTTTCAGGAGCAGAAGCATTCTTCACTCTGGAGTAGTGAATCCAGGGTCCTTTGCCAGCAAATTTCACTGCGGTGAGGGTGGTCAGCAGAACTTGGAATGGTCCTCTCCACCTGGCTTGTAGAGGATCACTGTCCCACCATTTAACATAGACCCAGTCTCCAGGTTGGAAGGGATGTGCAGGTGTGTCCAGTCCTATGGGTCTGGATAGCATGATGTAATTCTGGAGCTTCTGCAAAGTGGAACCTAAAGCCATTAGATATCTTTGTAAATCAAGTTTCCCCTTCATATGAATTTTACCTGGAACATGCAGAATCTGATATGGCCTGCCATCCAGTATTTCATAGGGACTGATGTTATCCCTCCACCTTGGTTGTATGTGGATTCTCAGTAAAGCTATAGGCAAGGCTTGA